GCGACCAATGTGACATAAATACCAAGCGTGAAGCATGTGAAATAAAAAAAAGGGGGTGCGGAATTAAAAAAAAAGGGACGCTATGGGATGTGAGGGGTCGGGAACACTTTTTGTGACGTACTAGTAGGTAGTAGTAGCAGCTGAGATGACTGCATGCTCTTTAGAAATATTACTACTAGTACTAGACACTAGAAAAAGAAATTTCATCATTGTTAGGAATACAATTTTTAAAAAAAGACTTAAAATTATATTTAGCCTCGTGAACTAGAAGAGGCTGGAACTGCATGGAGATGGAGATGCTTCTTGAAAACTGAGTATGATGTAATATACTTGAAAACTGAGTATGATGTAGCATATACTCCAGGCGTTGTTCTTCAAAGGAAAGGTCTTGGTTGAATACTGGGGGCTGGGGTTGGTGTTATTGATTCCGGCACAAACGTCGGAAACAACAACAATCATGACTGGAAAGCATGGAGCTTTCGGTCCTTGAGAACTGGGGATGGATCCAGTTGAGGTAATTGCTCTCAACTGGGGGGATTAGGGCTGGAGTTGGTGTTATTGCTTTCCGACAACAACAACAACCACAACGTCGTGACCGGAATCTTCTTCCGGTCCGTAAAATACTGGGAAATGAACTGCATGGAGATGCTGGGGAATCTGCTTTAAACTGAGTATGATGTATGATATAGCATATACTCCAGGCTTGTTCTTCACTAGGTCTTGGTTGAATACTGGGGGATGGGGTTGGTGTTATTGCATGCCGGCACGAATGCCGGAAACAACAACAACWACAACAACGTCGTGACCGGAATCTTCTTCCGGTCCGTAAAATACTGGGAAATGAACTGCATGGAGATCCTGGGGAATCTTCTTTAAACTGAGTATGATGTATGATATAGCATATACTCCAGGCGTTGTTCTTCAAAGGAAAGGTCTTGGTTGAATACTGGGGGCTCGGGTTGGTGTTATTGCCGTCCGGCACGGATGCTGGAAGCAACAACAACAGCAACGTCGTGACCGGAATCTTCTTCCGGTCTGGAAAATACTGGAACTGCATGGAGATGCTGGGGAATCTGCTTTAAACTGAGTATGATGTWTGATGTAGCATATACTCCAGGCGTTGTTTTTCAAAGGAAAGGTCTTGGTTGAATGCAACACCAGCTCCTGAGGTCAGTGCAGTTTGAAACTGACTTTTCACCAACATTGGATAAATTTACTTCTGGGATCCCTCTTCTCATGGTTTCCGATGGATCTGGCACAGATGGTTATATGTCCTTTGGCTGATCTCTAGCCACTACAGCTGGGGATAGAATTGCTCATACAAATGGCCCATGCTTTGGCATTGAATGTTCTCTTCAAGCTGAGGCTACAGGCTTATTTACAGGCTTATTATCAGCAAGTCTCTTTATAACCCTGCTAGTTTTGCACCTACACCATCATGACCACGAGAAGAGCAAAGATGACACAAGTTCTTCCAGCTCATCATCCTCTTCCGATGCTTCCCTTATTTGCCCTACACGGGTTACTTTTGTCAGCGACAGCAAGGCACTCATCATTTGACTCCAATCCAGATGTGAATATACAGAASTCTATGCTAATGCTACCCTAGCACCAGAATTTGACTTGATTGAACAGATTTTTCAAACCCTTCAGATTCCTTTCCTCACATACTCCTTTTCTTGGGTGAAAGGCCATCAGGATGACACCATAGCCTTTGATCGCCTCCCTCTGACAGCTCAACTGAATGTCGAGGCTGATGGTTATGCTGGAGATTTTCAAGCCCAGATGACTACGCCAAATTTTATCACGCCAGTGTTACCTTCTTGCCCAGCAGTTCTCCAGATCCAATCTCGCTCTGTCACCAGCCAGTATAAGAGAGCTCTCACAGATTCATGTTTGATCCCCCAATATCACACTTATTTGAGAGATTGGAACCAGTGGCCCCCACGGGTTCTTGCTGATATTGCCTGGCAGTCTCTGAGCATTGCCATCCACCATATCTCCAGGGACGTCTTGGTCACTACATGTTGCAACCATATCCTCCCCACTGCCACTGTTCTCAAACAGTGGAATTCCCAACAACAGGATACTTGTTGTCTTTGCCAGTCGCCTGAAGATTCTGAGCATCTATTTTGCTGTTCCCACCCATCATGCATCAGATGGCAAAGACAGACTATCACCTCTCTACGACAATGTATGTCCACCCTTGGCTTCCAACCAATTGCCATTGACACTCTTACTACATGTCTTACCGAATGGTTAGACACTGGCACTGTTTCTCCAGAGAAATATCCTGTATCCTTTCATCCAGTTATTCATTTCCAGAGCAAGATTGGGTGGCAATACATGTTTGCCAGTCACATTTCGCTCCAGTGGATTACTGATCTTGATCTTCATTCCCGCTCTTAGTACTCTCCCCTAGTAGTAGTGTTGGGCGGCTATCTTGTGGAATTCTTTCTTACCTCCTATATATCATTATGGGAGAAGTGAAACAAGGATCTCCATGGCTATACACTTTCACACCAGAAGCAAGCAAAGCATTGACGGCAAGTGGTGATGAAAGGTTGGAAATTATTTGCATTGAAATCTCAGACCTGTCCGTCCAATGCCCACCTATTCCCAGAAAATATGGAAGCCTTCTTATTGTAGACATGTACCTCCATGCTCTCATATTACCATTGAGTCTACGAGAAAACGATTCTGGTGAGTGTCAACCCAGTACTTTACGCCAATGCCTCATAGTAAACAACCACCGGAGAGTGTCCCACAAGATTCACTGGTCTTTGATGCCTACTCCAAAAAGAAGCAACACAAACAACCAGTTGTGTCAGATACTTCTCTGGCTTCTCCTGTCAATTCTTCCAGTGTACTCCAAACCAAGTTAACCCAATTCTTCTAATTCCAGTGAAACCAACCCTTGGTCGCATTTCCAGCAACACTCCTCGGAGCCCCTTGGAGCAGCTAGAAGCATTCTTTCTAACGAAAGTTGTGGTTCTGGCCATTTAGTGCCTCTTCTAGTTCACGAGGTTAAATATAATATTAAGATTTTTTTTTACTAGTAGTACTTCAGAAATTTGAGAAAATATTGAAAATGAATACTTGTTGTTGCTTGTCCTCCTCCTGAAGGTAGAGGAATCAGCACTGCTGCTGGCGCCAGCTGAAGGAGCAGGCTCAAAGACTGTTGTGTTGGCACAGATACAGAAAATCCTCTTTGTTGTTTGTTAGATTTGACTTTGGTACTGTCAGCTTTTGAGTGAAGGCTTGCTATCAGAACCCAATCAAAATGAGCCATTTTGGCAACATTAAAATGTACATTTTTTCCTTCCTCTACCAGGAGGGCAACAAAAGGATATTGTAGTTACTGATCGTTTTTTGAGACACCAACATTTGGTCATACGTGACGTGACATGAATTAACCAGGAGCTGACCCCAGAGCTAGCATCCTACTTACAAGCTGTCTTTTGAGAGAACCTCATTGCGAGTAACTCGTAGAGGTTTTAGAAGTTTTATTTGAAAATAATATGAATTCTATTTAAAGGACATTGTGACCCATTCAATTACTGTCCTCAATTACAACCAAAATAATATCAAATATGAAACGGACGCATACTAAATATACTATTCATCTTCCCACACAATATCTTTCAGTAATTGACGCGACGCGATCTTGATTTCGTTGTCCATATCCTTCGACTCTAACGAAATAGCGATCGCTCGAAGTACCCCTGATTCATGCATTATTGATCGATCCACTACGACCTGCGCTTTTTTGATGAAACCGAACAGCCCACCTTTGTAGGAAGATACTGGGAAATTGGCAATGCAGTCCACAATCAATGGAAGAACACATTCAAAGTCTTCCTTCGTTGCGAGAATATTTTTTTCACAGCACTGTACAAAAAATTGCGACGCCTGAATCAAGAGATCTTTGTTGCCGATCCATTCGAGGCCATTCGATCTCTTGAGAGATTCGATACAACTGCCAAAGAGGTTCAGTCCCTCAAAATCCTCTCGAACTAGTAGGTTGTTGTTGTTGTTGTTGTTGTTGTTGTTGATATTACTCAGGGTGATAAATACAAGTCCCATTACCTGCGAAGCCAATACACTGTTGCTGTTTTCTGTGATTGTTTTAAGTTTTGTCGTGTTCTTAGTCTTCGCCTTTACGGTTCGGGAAGGTCGTACAATCCTTCGCTTCCTTCGATTTGTGCTCATCTCCATTGCGGTTCGTTTCCGAGATCCAACTCCACCACAAATAGAGCTAAAGATCCACTGTACCGCCCTCAGCTGGTAATCTGCACCCCCACATACATCATACGAGAGGAAATTCCCACTACTACTATGGACCAACTTTACATGTGAATCATTCATTCCCTTTGATACCGTTGGGGATGTTAATCCTTTTTGTGCTGTGCTTGCTGCAATTATATTGCCCCCAAGTTTTGCCATCGTGTTGACACCATTTTCGAAGACACCCAACAGTCGCTCTTTCTGTTCTTCCAGGTCACCAACCTCGTATGCAGACGATTTATCCGTGATATTGAAGAGCGCAGACCAAATCCAACGCAGGGCTTCGACCTGGGAGGCCATGCTTTCTCTCCCGCATTCGTTGCTTGCCTGGAGCAAAATCTCAATGCCTTCCCGTTTCGTCAGTGCTCTCACAATATCCTTCGAAACCTCGAATGATTGGTGTTTGGGGCTGCGAACAGTGCAGGTCATGATCGCCTTCGCAGCCATGGCTACACAAGCGGGATCACCCTCGTTGTTCTTGAGATAGAGCAAAACCCGCTGAATCCCCCCAAGTTCTAACATTTCTTCCAGAAAGACTGGGTCGTCGGTGTATCCCCACTGGCACAGGTTTGTCAGGGCCGCAATGGCCTCGTGGCGCGAGTAGTGGGCAGCATCGACGATCTTACACAGCTCCGCGGAGAGGTCTTCAAAGGATGGACGTGCTATCCCATGCTGATCGTTTTGATTCGAAATGGAAACACCGAAGGAACCCTGGGTAGCTTCTGATGGAAAGTTCTTCATGGCTGCCGTAGCCTCTGCAGCAATAGGTTCATCTATGGTCATAGTGATTCTTGCCCTCTTGGCAGGCTTTTTCGATTCTTGTCGTCCCTCGTTTTCGCTCTCCTCTGTGAATGGTGATTCCGACGTAAATCGTTGTCGTTTGTTGCGATTTACGAGATTGATTACTGTTCCACCTCCAGCCGACGTTGGAGATAAATTGTCCGATGTCACAGAATTGTTACAGGTGTTGTTTTTGTCGTCTCTATCGTTTAAGGACATCACCGATATAGAATCGTCTTCATCGAAACTGGAAGTTATGAGGAACGGAAGCACCATTATAATTTCTCGTATGGAAAACGAAAAGAGGAAAAGGATGCAGTATGGTCTCCGTTAAAAAATCGAAAACCTAGCGAGAGCGTTGTTTTATTGTCGTGGAATTTGTTTCAGAGCATTGCTTGCTGTTTGAAAGAATCGTGGGAACGCTGATCTATTGATTGTTAACCCGCCTTGTCCTCCACGATTTTCGTCTTGTTAGTGGTGGAACGGATCGTGGATGATGCAATCTTGTCTCGCCAAAATCTTGCAAGAAATGATATTTGATCAACCGCCATGCGCTTGCGAGACGGCAAAGCATGCAGAACCGAGCGAGCACGAATAGTGGCTTATCGGAAAATAAAGTCTTTTCTAGTCTTCAAATCTAAGAATCTAAAATCTAAAAAAGAGTCAAAGTTTGAATTTGAAACATGCCACGACAACCCAACAAACTCAGATCACGTCTGAAAAAATAAAATGCATGTTTCTGAACAGGTGGATTCAGAACCGAGGATGATGTGTAACCGGAAGTAAGTCGCGATAGGGTCAGTCGCAAATGCGGAGCTGATCGTTGGGAACAAGTGATCTGGAACATAACAGCCAGATGAATCATTCCCACCAATTACAGATCACTCAGAGAGACTAACTCAGCAATAGTCATAGTGCGACAGAGCGACGACAGATTGCCACATCGCTGCAACAGATCGATAGTGTGATTCATCCGTACCGTATAGAATAAGACAGCAAGAACAACAACGACAGGATTCAACGATAAATTCGAGGAAAAAGACAGTCAACTCACAAAATAAAATCTGGCAAAAGAAAAGAAAGAAAAACACAGAATATCAAGACGCCAAAGAAAAGCACGATCATGGTATCCAAAAATATCACACGACGACAGAGACTGTCGCAGACCTTCTACTACATGACCTCTTGTGTATTGGTTTCAATGAGCTCGACATTGATTCTTTCCTCCGTGTCACCAGCATCACAGCCATGGAATTGCAATTCATTTCAAGCAGTCGAAGCCTTTACGTCCCCACCGCACAATCACCGCCATCCGTTCGGACAATCGTCTTTCGCTACCACTACAGCAGGAGCAAGAACGCACCTGTTTTCTTCACCCACGACAGAGGACACCTCCGAAACAAATCCCGAAGAGCTGCACGTCGACCATTCCCCGACAGATTGTCCAACCGTCGTTCGAGCCCCTCTGAAATTCATCGGGCCCTACCCTTGCCTCGCGCTGAGATTCCCAAATCTCGCCACCGAATCCCAGCGCTCTCGAAACATCACGGGCATCAGCCTTGACTTTGTCATGGATACGGCGGCAAATGTCAACACCGTCCAATCACAGGTAGCCCAGGAGTTGCTTCTGCCCAAGCAAGAAGATTCGCCCGCGCTGCCCGGTGTTAGCAGCAGCGGCCCCATGGATGGTGGAGATACCTACGTGCTGGGGGATTCGCAGCTCGAGCAAGCAGCGATAATGGTGCTCGACAACCTTCGAGAGCAAACCGAAGAAGAGCGAAAGCAGCAACAACAAGAACCCTTCGAATTCATGCAAAACTTGACAGCGGCAGCTCTCCCGGTCGTAAATCCGGGAAGTGCTGGGCTGCTCGGATTAGCATTCTTTTATTGCTTCGAAGGAGGGGTGGAGTTTCGGTGGGGTTCGACGCAGCAGCAACCGCAACTTGTTGATGGAATGATAGTCCCAACGGATTTCCGGGACGATTCGTCTCCCTCGGTGACCTTTTATGGCGAAGATGATTCTAGCAACAGCGATTCTCTGTTGCAGCGTGCTCTTTCGGATCTGGTGCGGGTTCCAATCGAAACGATTCCGGTCACACAATTGCCCTCTCTCAAGATCAAAGTCAACGGCGTGGAAGTGATGGCCCTGTTGGACACCGGATCTCCGGTTACCGTCTTGAACCAGGGAGCCGCCCAGGCCGCGGGAATCCAAACCACCCAAGACACCGCAAAGGCTGCGGCGGCCCAAACAAACAGTGCTGGAGGTTGGAAGAATCCCTTTTCGTCGGTAGTAGACAAGTTCAAGGAAGCCCAGGCGACCGCCGAGGCAGCCGCCAAGGGCGAAATACTCATGATCGGGGGAAGCGATGGGAAACCAGTTACGCTGTACCGGTCTGCTTCTGACCACCACCCCAGCATTTCGGTAGCTACGGGGCTGGGTGGAGACGACCTTTCCTTTGGGTCTGACCTGCCTGTGTACGTTGGTGATATTCCAGGCCTGGCGGCCCTCAACGGAATCGGTGTGGACTCCCCTCCGGCGGTGGTCCTGGGCTTGGATGTTTTGAGGAAACGACCGAGGATGCTGTTCCGACCAAGGGAAAACGAGGTTTATTTCTAATCATTATCCATGTAATTTATTGCTTTGAACTCATAGTATTTACTGTACGAATCTCAATCGTTAGTTCGTCATTTAGATTTTGAATACTGTAAGTAGTAGAAGTAAAGGCGTTGCCTGGCCCAGGCGGCGCTTTCCAGACTCCCTGTCTCTCGCGCATGCCGACCGAAGCTCTTCTGTGCCAGCTTCCTCCGAAACATGCTCGTGCTCGGCAATTCGTCGAGTCGATAGATCACAGAATAAAGTGATCCACCTTTGTTGTGAACCTGAAGTCGAGATTGGTTGCGGATTCATTGGCTATGTTTGGACCATCAACAATAACGATTTGCGACATGGAGAACGATGCCTCGTCGCAGTAATATTCTTGCATGTTTAATATGTAGGTTCTCAACGTATGTGATCCTCAGGATCAATGTCTGAAAGATATAGCTTGTCGTGCAAGACATTATCCTCCTCCTTCAGTAGGTACTCAAAATCCCTGTGCTTGACATCTTGGCGAGCCAGATCCCTCTTGGCACACACAAAATGTATGAGTGGCTCCACAATGGCTTGATACACTACTACAATGGGTGTCTTTTGAAATATGTCCTTTGTGGGAGGATTTATGCTGTCTTTGGTTAATTTAACATATATCCTCAGCACCAGCTTGTTTGGCTTTGTCTCCCAGGTCTCACACAACGTGTCAGTTTTCTCCACAGCCAAGATATCCTGGACAACCTGAAACATCCATGTCATTTTTTGACCTACACCATGACAATGACCTTCATGGGGTTGCTTTTCCTGTTATTTTCAAGGTCAGGAAGGACAGTTTTTTTGATCTCGCGTAAAACATTGTAGATGTTGATAATTTTTGTGATTTTTCTAGCCTCTTCCAGAAAATAACTCTAAATTCTTTGGTGTCAAAGTTGAAGAATATTGCTGGAGTTCCTTCTGTTGAAGATCCTTCCTCTGTTTATTTGTGCTGTGTATCATTTTTGTCATTCACTTCATACTTTTTGTCTGCCAAGTTTTCTTTGCCTGATTTATTTTCCTCCTGCACACAATTTTCCTCTACCTCCTTGTTCTCTGCTTTACAATTGGTTTTTCTTTCCTCTTGCTTGACCATTGCAATATCTTCCTCAAGTTGAGACTCAATAGACTGCAAATGATTGATATGTTCAAATGCCCTACTGACTACCTCCTCATCTTGGCTTCTGTCTTTTCCACTGAGTCCAAGGAAGGTTCAAAGATCAGATATTTCTTTGTATCTGACATCACAATGCATAGAAGTCCAACAAATCACAAAACAAGCTTGAATTCTGCCTTGTTTGAGCTCATTGAAAAGGAGCACTGCAAGTCAAAGAGCTTGGGATTAACGTTTGTGTGATAACTTTCTCTTTCTTGTTCTGTTGTGTCATACAGGGTATACAGAATGGCAACTGTATGACTTGTTGGTCAAGATAATCAGCACCATTAACCCTTGATTTTCTCAAGAAAGCACCATGATCTTCATCAATTGCTGACACAACAATTTGTGGATCAGTTACAAGCCAAGTAGTGCATGTCATCTCATTCTGTAGCAAAAGGGGTACAGCTTAGAGAACTTGTACAATTGTCTTTGGGTGACACCAATAGAGGAGGTCATCAACAAATATCAACAAGAAGTGGCGCTTTTGGTGGTACTAGTAATACTCCCCCCCCATTTGAACAACTAGCTCTATTTGTAGGAAATCAGATAGTGACTATATCTCTTCCTTAACAATTCTCATAAAACCTGCATTTACTGAAAAACCATGGACTTGAGCTCTGATTGTAGTGGCAGCAGCTTTTCAATATAAAGGTGTCAAGTTCATATCCTCGTTGAACCACAGGCAGACACATATTGGGAACGCGCGTGAGCCTATTTTCAACATTGAGCAGAAGAGCCAGCACAAAGCGCAGAAGCCCCCATACTACTTTGGATCCAAAAGGACGGTATGTATTCATTTTGGTGAATGAAAAAGACTGCTGAGCACTAGAGCCAGCACAAAGCGCACGAAATCCCGTACTATTTTCGAACTATTTACTAGTATTTTGGTGAATTGAAAGACTGAGCAAAGGAGCAAGCGCAGAACTGTTTATTTTGGTGAATTGTTATGACGTCTCCGACAAATGTATCCAAAGTAGCCGGGGCCCGCAACGACTGCGACTATGATGGCGACGCCAGTGCCGACGAAATCCAGAGGCAATTGGAAGAATCGACTTCTTCTTCGGTGTTCGACCCCGACTTTTGTTTCCGATCCACTGCACCCAGGTCGCTCAAGGTGACGTGCTACGGATCCTCCTCGTCCAAGACCCCGGCGCGGTATCTGAACGAAGCCAGGCTGCTGGGTTATATCCTCGCAAAACGGGGCCACGTCTGCATCAACGGAGCCGGTTCGTACGGTTGCATGGCCGCCATGAACGATGGTGTCCATGCCGGAGACGGCCACGTTCGCGGTGTCATTCACGAAATGTTTCTGGCAGACAATGGATACTTTGATGTCGACCCAAAAACCAACCAAAGGACTCTTTTGCGGAGGGCCAGCTCCCACAGAGTCTTCGAGAATGCCGTTGTATTGAGCCGGCACAAGCAGAAACAGCGACAACAAACCGACGACGGAGCTCGAGATGAACAGAGCAATAAGGAGGAGTCGGAAAAATCTATTCCGATTCGAGAAATTTTAGTTGCAGGTACGTGGAGCATATTCTGGGTGCGAAGTGTCATGAGGGGGCAGAAACTAGTGAAAGACGAAAAGACGCAACACGCAGATACTCTGCTGTTTTGGTTTTCTTATCTTGTTGGTCTTTGTTTGAACTTCATCACTCAACACAATGCAACATAACATGATACAACACAACACAACACATCCACCCAAATCCCACTTAGGAGGCGACGATCTCCAGGAGCGCAAAAAGTTTTTAGTGACCAACACCGACGCCCTGATTGTCCTGCCGGGGGGTCCTGGGACCTGGGACGAGCTGTGGGAAATGGCCTGCGCCCGGCATCTCGAGCTGAACGCCTTGCCGATCGTGTGTGTCAACGTCGACGGATATTACGAACCCTTTCGGGAAATGCTGGACCGGGCCTTCGAGGACAAACTCATTCGGCTGGAGCCGGAAGCTATCGTACGGTTTGCAGATTCTGCGGAAGAGGCCGTCCGTTTCGTAGAGGATCCTGTGTCACACAACAAGGAAGACGACGACAAACTTGCTGCCCGGCGGAAGACGCGAAACAAACGAACGAACAACAACAAAGACGACGACAGTTCCCGGGGGAATCTACTGCTTTCCTTTTTCGTTGGAAGTCTGTTTGGAATCGCAGTGGCGCGATCGGCAGCATTGCGTAGAGGTTGACTAGAATGGTATGAGGAAGAGATCACAATCGATGCCCGCAACGAAGACACACGGCCGTTTTCTTAGACGCCAAAATTCGACTATAGAGGGCACACAAGTAGAAGGGGAAAACTGATACTCAACTAGATTTTGCATGTGATCGTTAGTCTACTATCTTCATACGTTGTTCAAACCCCAGGGACGGAATCGTGGTGTGGATCAGACATTGCCGTGTTGTGGTTGTTTTGATCAACCAGCTCCGTTTAGCAAATTTGCAATTAGCGTTTACATCTAGCACACGAAAAGGCACCTACCGCAGGATTTTTCTTTCGTTTGTATTTTCACCTCATTGAGCGGGCTGGGCAGCTCAAATGCTTCCATGAATTTCACAAAAATAATAGTCAACAGGAACCTTTTCTTTTTTCAGGTGTTTTACTTTGATCCTTAGAATTGAATTTATGCAACAACCCGCATTCGATTCGACACCTTGGCGTACCCATTGCTACCTCCGAGGTAGACTTTTTCCGCAATGTCGTACGAAGAAAATGAGACAACCTGGATGTTATCGTTTTTGAGGTAGCCAAAACATGAGGGTAATTTTTGCCGTATTTGCGATCTTCAATTTCCTTCAAAAGAAAATGAATTTTAAGAAACACGAACTGACCTAAAATTCATAGTCTTGCATACTGTCTTCATTCGTTGAATTACTTTCGGGCTCTACAAGTTCAACTAGATTTTTGCATATGATCGTCAGTATTCTATCTGTCACGTGTCAAGTACGCGTTGGGATTGTGGCGAGTGTAAATCACGAAATGCGTCAACCAGAATACCGCTGTTCGAACCCCGGGGGTGGAATCGTGGTTTCGATCAGATCGGGCTCTTGTTCCTCCAGGTATTGCCGTATAGTGGTCCTTCGGTCGACCAGCACAGTTTCATCCAAGAAGGAATCCAGGCACTCGGAACCCATCGATTTGGCAGCTAGGTAGCAATGCCGAAGATAGACCCGGCAGGGGAGCAATCCCGAATCGGCTTCCCACCCCCATATGGTGTCGATCCCGAACCTGCCGTAATTTTCGTCGAAACGCTGTTTCCCCCATCGCTCGACGTAGCCCTGGTCGGTGAAGCGCGTGCACAGCGTTCCCAGTTTCGTTGCTCGTTCGGCCGTCTTGTCTGGATCGCTGTTTGATTCCGAGAAATCCAAAAATGGAACCTCCACAATGTCGAATTCCTCTTCCCGCTCCAAAAAGGCCCCGGTTGGTTTCGTTGCCACGATCCTTCCGTCGTTATCCGTTTCGTCGAAATAAACTTGATCCCGCGGAACCTCAAAGACGGAGCAAATGAACCCCCCGAGGTTCTCCCCGTCGTTTCTGTTGCTTCCGCAATATTCGATTTCTTCGGCCGAGAGGGACGAAAATTCCTTGGTTTCCACGTTGGCGAGTCCGCGCTGGAAAAAAATTGATGCCGGGTGACCAAAGACCCGGCGGTATTGATTTGAAATCCGACCGAGACGGAAATTCGTCAGATCAGGAAAGGTGGTGCGGGACGATCGCTCGCTGAGCAAGCTCCCCAAACCAAGAACGGTAACCGTCGACGGCGTCACCGATGTGTTGCAAGTCGGAAGTTTCATTGCGCGATCGCGATGTTGAAATCTAGTTCAGAGCGGTAAGGGATTGAGGTGGTCGCACCTCGGTTGGCAATGTGGGATCTATTCGGACTAGAATGAGGTCTTGCTTTTCCACCACCAACCACTCCGTTGATAACGCAAGGTAGGTTTCTGGATCGATTTTGGATGTTTTTTTTTGGCTGGAACGTACTACCGAACGTACGGCAGATTACAAGCATTTTAAGTACACTACTCGTACTCGTTGGAGCCGTTCGATTCGATTCACAGGATCATTTTGCTACCCTGGTACCGTACATACCCATCGTACAAACAGAACATCACATACTAACATCATACGTACCGGTAGTATTCTTTTCCCCTTCTTTTTGTTGTACCGTACGAACCCCTCCCCCTTGTGATCATAAATCACGAGTAGATAGTGAATAAAAATAAGCAATATTGTCCAACATTTTTGAACACTGCTAGAAGTAATTTTGAATTTTGGTAATAGTTATGTGTCGATATTGAGTCGTACTTCGTTCTAGATCATTGTTCCAACTCGTTCCCAGAACATAATTTCCAGTCATTTTGTCGTCTCATTCACTCGATCTGTTTATTGCGATCAATCAGGAAACGAAAAGAATGCAATCATAACATGAAAAATCATGACAATATTATTATTCTCAATTGCCTTTCATCCTTCGGCTTCCACACAACACTTTTTTCATCATTGATCCTGCTTATGGCGCTCGCGTTTCCAGGCCATACTGTTGCGATGCTCATTCCCTCACATTTAAGTCGCGCAATAAGAAAAAACGGAAGCAGTCACAAAATAACATCGATCCAGAAAGATGATACCGAATAATCATAATGATGTGAATGAAGCCTTGCGATCGGTCAATCCATGCACAGATCGGTTATTGTTCAAAGACCAAAAGCACAAACATCATCACCTGAACGAACAACACCAACTGGAATCGCATGAACAAAGTAGCAGCGTCATCATGTGTAGCAAGGATCAAACTAGCAAAAACAATACCGACCAACAATACAGGGACGCCGTGAGATCCCTAGGTCCCTACGATGTCGTTTGTGGGAGAGGGAGTGTCGCCTTCAACAATATCGGGAATCGTCGGTTTCGGATAATAATCGGGATGAACGTCGACAAATACAGCGCAATCGATGGACGCTTCCAGAAAGGAATCTTTATCGGGAACTTGGTCGATGCACTCGTCTGTGAAATGGGCGCGCGTTTCTTCAAGCAAAAAAAAACTGATGGGCGACTGGTGGAGCTGACGGAAGCAGAGATAAGAAAAAAGGTCGGCCACGCTTTGCGGGACATGTTTGCTTTCCAGGAGAGCCAACAGCAACAGCAACAACAAGACGTTAAAGAACAAAATATGATGGCAGGGGATACAGCGACGTTAGCAATACCTTCATTGCTATCACTGGCTCGATCGCCAGCTCATCACAAGAAGAGCAACGATATGAACTGCAGCTGTTTGCCTCATGAAAGAACGCAACAATCTCTCCCGCAAAGTCTCCCACATTTTCCTCTTCCGACGTCCCTCTTGTTTCAAGAGTCCATCGAATCTATCGATGTTCCAAGGAACTACAGGGCCGACACTAATAATGGTTTTCAGGGAACAAATAATTTTGAAATCCAGAACCGTTCCACCGAGATCAGGCAACACGGTTTTTTCCCTGTGTCGAACAGAGACAAACGCCAACGGCAGAAAGAACTGCAACGGCGGCTCCAGCAGCAGCAGCAATCTGGTCATTTTTCGATGAGAGAGCTTGAAGAGAGGCTATCGGCTACTACCAACATTAGCAATAGTGAAAGGGAACGTCAAGGAACAATCTGAAACAAGAACAGTGGTTTTCATGAGAGGCCAAGTTACTCTCTACATGCGATCGAAATAGAAATACATCGCAAGAAAAACGCTGAGAAAAATAACTACAAAATTTTGATTTTTTAAACAATATTATGGGATGAACGAAAGAAAACATTGAGTACGAAAATTAGGAACCAAAAAGTGAAGTAGGTCCGACGTGCATTAGTGTCGATGTCAAGGGAAATTTTCAGTTATATAACAAATAAATAGCAAGTAAGGGGTAACAAATTAGATTGGGATTCAGAAAAGGACAATGGCGCTTTCATTTTTCCCACTCCAATTCAAGATTCCAGCTTCATATCAAGCATTATGTAATTTAGGAAAAACTGAGGAACAAATCTCAAACGAAAGTAGTTATCTGATTAATGTATCCGCTCGGTAGTAACAAGTTGAATCCGTTCGTACGCGTATAACCCGAAATAATATACTATAATTCGTACTTCGTAATACAGTGGTAACCGTATGTGAGACCGTTCTACTACTGTATTATTATTTTGGAAACAAAATAATGACATCACTTGGTGTTTTGTGCTATGAGGTTGTTGATGGCTTGTCTCTAAGTGATTCTGAAGTAGAATAAACGTTTCTCGGTACCTCAATGAGACTACGATAGCAACACCATGACGATTACACCGAATAGGAGGAGATATCATTCAGCATGACATGACTCATTAGTATTGTACCAAGTACGTACCGTAATCACGCGAGAAAAACTCCAGCCTCCTTAGTTAGACAGAGCATTGACTTTTCTGACGTCATTGTATTCCATTTTAGTCATAATTAGATTACAGTATTTAATATAACCTCTGGGATTGGCAAGGGACAGATTAAAATTTTGGGGAGCCCAAAGAACACTAAAAGGCTCTTTTGGTTTCGACAATACGATACAGATAAATAATACGATCACGAAATAATAATACGGTACTGGAAAACGATTGACGTACCATCCGTACGTGTGCTTACCATGCGTTGTAGAGTTCTTAACATGAAGCTAATACATTTATGACTATCGTATTTATCTTTGATAGCTCAGGCTATCAGATTCACGTACCGTTCCTTACCCAACATAGTAATGTTTTAAACCGCAGTAATAATTTATTTAATTTGTCATTTTTCTATAGATAGTATGCAGTAAATAGATATGCAATAGATTAATAATACAGTCTGAAAGATGAATCAGATTCCGATCCCAATGGAGTGGAAGCTTTTTTGGTGGCAGTTTCGTGTGGTGTTAGTGATTCAAAATAGATATGCAATGGATGAAATAACAGTAATCGATATTTTCAAAACTTCTTGTGCCATTCCGTACTGCTCTGTTGGCCATTACTTCTCTTGACGTTCCTTTCGTGCTGCAATGACCAAATCTCGGAGGGCGTGACCGACCTTTTCGCGAGACTGCTTGTCCGTCATGACTACATAGCGGGATGTTGCCTTCTTCCCGGAAGAAGCTCGTGCGTGTTTGCTGGTCTTGATGGTTTCCTTCTTCAGAAAGCGCGCGCCCACGTCGTTGTGGAGCATCCAGACAATAGACTTGATAACGTTCGTTTTGTCCTCGCGTGTAGGCGAGTTGATATACCGTTGTAGGTTCATCTCGATAGTGACCCTGAATCGGCGGTTGCCAATGTAATTGTAGGCACCGGAATTACGCCCACATACAATATCGTAAGGACCGGGCTGAATGACCTCGGTGCCGCTCTCGTTGCTGCCATTCGAATGAAAGGTGTTATGGCAGTCGAGAATGCTCGTGGCCGAGTTGATGATGGCACTGGTCGAACAAGGAGCATTTTGTCTAGCGGAATCAATCATCAATGGAACAGCGTTGGGCGTCAGAAGGTCCGACACAGAATTGATCCTCGGATTTTTGGCACTGTTACTCCTGTTGTTGTCCTTCTTGTTGTTCGCAATTCCAGATCCCGTTCGGAAGAGTTTCTTGTCGATGCCTAGAATGTCGATCGAATGATAGATATTGCCCGTTGAGCAGCTGGTTTGCTGCGTGGGATTCATCGTGGCGTTGGCACTGCCATTAGGATGATTGGTGTTATTCTTGTTGTTATATTCAATGGGATGAAATGCACCAAAGATATCAGTTGACGATCTTCTGCGCATACCAAAGAAGTCTGTGGAAGACTTTCGGCGCATCAAATTACTTGTGTTTTGGTTGTTCTTGAGGGGGTAATCTTTTTCTCCTGAAGAGGTGGAAGCGCCCGAAGCTACCGTGAGTGGAATTAAAAAGTTTGACGCGCGTTCCTTGACGAGTGAGTAACTGTTCTTTCTTCGGATTTTGTTCATTGCGCTCTTGTTCTTGTCATCGACACTACTTCTATTGTAGTTGCAATTCGTTTCCCTAGACTCCGTATGATTTCCATGGCTTGTGCGGCTGTTCTCATGAATTACACCATACGAATTATCTCGCTCATCATAGGGAGAGAAGATGCTACATCGAACTGAATCGTGCTGTAGATGTGTGCTGTTGCTGCATGTGTTGTTATGATTTTGGATGACGTTCATCATGGTTGTATGCAAGTTTTTCTTCGAGACGTCGAAATGATTATGAAGATAAGAACTTGCGTTTGATTTTACAATGTAAATATATTGTGCGATTGGTGTGAAAAGTTTCGGTGAGGTCTCGGTTTGATACTCTTAATTTTGCAGTCCTATTTTACCCGTCGGAGAGCTGGGCCAAAGCACACACGATGACTTGATTTGTGACGAAAAAAGAGAAAAAGTTGCTCACGTTGTTTCTAGTAATGTAGAGAGTTAAATAAATAAATAAAACAGGGGTTCAACCTGTCTCCCGCACACGCAAGTTTTGAAGAAAAAAATTGAATACTGCGAACCTCAAAAATAGAGGAGGAGCTGAGGATATTGATTCGTGCGTAAATAGACGGAAGCACATCATCGCGGTCGAAAAACGATTTCGCGGCTCCCCCCCCGAAGCAAATCGCAGGGATTCAATATAATTGGGTTCCGTTTGCACATTGAAGTATTTATTTTATGGAGACTAAGTAGCTGTCATTAGCGGTCATTTCACATTGAACTATCATCAAAATGAATCTTTTCCCGGTAACAAAAAATCATTGTATAAATTCTCTCTTCCGAAACTACTTAACAGGCTATAAAATTGTGCAATAAGTCAAAAACTAGTTCCATCATATTGAAATTACGAACAAACAAAAAAGAGGACATAAATCCAGACTAAGATTTCTTTGGAAGTTACGGATTACAGTATCAATAAAAGTGTACACTGACACAACATGAACCCCTTTGTCTTCCTTACTTATGATTCACCAGCTTGCTTGAAGGGTGAGAATGCTCATAATAATATTATTATCAATGCTGGTAGTCTTACTTGTAGCATAGTTATTTCTTTTTATTGCAATTGCAATGTTGTTTCTGCGATCTGACAACACCTCCCGCGAGAAAAACTAATAATGTACTTAAGGTATCGTGAAAAGTCAATCGATATTATATTTGAATAATATGCCTTACCAGAACTAAAGGCATATGAAGAATTGAACAATCAAGTTGTTCTTTCAGAAGAACACTTAAATATTGTCATTTCCATAAAACTTAAGGAATGCTATCTGATTATGGTATCTATTTCCTCTTCTTGAATATCAACCGGCGGGTGCAAACTAACAAGACAGAAAAGTCGGTCTAATGGACTTGGTACCGTTTCCTCTGAATTCTAAATCTTCGGGTGCAGCATAATGAGATTGTTCTTGGTCTTCAGAGAGTTACATCCAGTGGCAAGCTCCATATTTGTGGCAGGTTACAGAATAGTGCTCGTACCTTGAACTTCAATACGAGGGCAGCCTAATCAATTGATGAACTGGTACAAACCAGGAAAGAGTAGCGCTAGGGTACAACTAGTGCGTGTGCAAGTAATATATTTTGCCTTTGCTGACGTGTGTTTTTACCAAACGCTTAGCACTAGGATTGTCTCGTAGCAACTTGATGAGTTACTGTGCGAATCAAACTAGTAGTTGTTTTTTCATCAGGAGGAAGTGCCCTAATGACATGACTCCGATGATGCACCGCAAACGAGGAGCACAACAAGGTTTTTCTCCCTTGGCGACTTTAGTAATCGCGAACCACGCACTAAAGGGGACAAGCAGAATACGTAAGATAATGATTGGAAACTAAACAGAAGAAAGACTTCTATCGAGCAGAGATCCATAGTTGGAGTATATCGTACAACACACTGTTATTGTTATTAAAAATCAAAACGCATCATAGAAATGCGTGTATGAAATGGGGCGGCGCCGTTCGCAATGCGATTCCTAGCGAGTCCGAAGTAGTGCGTTTTGCGCTCGGCGGATACACTCCGCGGAGGCGACAAAGCCGACACCAATTGCTTCTATGGAAAAAAATGGCTTAGCTCATTCATCGGACGGAACCCGGTCATTCACTATTGTTTCCTCGATAATTTTGGCACCGCCCTCCCTGCAGCCTCTGTCGAAATTGCCGTCGTCACTTTTTGCTTCGTCGCAAGCTCTCGAATCGCTCTCGGCTGTTTTGCTTTCTGCTGTCGCGGTATCCTTCTTGTCGCTCGTTCCTTCCTCGACAGCCTCGGAAAGACTGGCGGTCTCTTTGCCCTCTCCTATTTCCGAATCCTTTCCGTCTTCCTTGGCATGTTTGATCGGATTGGAATCGCTGTCGTTGCCGGAGGATTCTGTTCTTTCGAAGTCTTTGTCCTCCGTTTGTGCTTCCTCGATGGACTTGACCCAGTTGCGTAGTTCACCGATCAATCCCGAAAAGCATCGGGGTTCCCTTCTGCGCTGGAACACATCGAGATCCCTGGCTTCCGCCGTTGCATCCTTTCCTGCTACTGTTGCTGGTTTTGCTTTTGTTTCTTTGCTGACGTCGAAAGAGAAAGGGTCCAATCCGTTCTCTTCCGTGGCAAGTCCTCCTCGGTTTTTGTTGTTGTTGCTGCCGTGCACCTTTCGCTGGATCGATTGTTTCACGCTCTGGCACTTCTCGTAGACGAGCTGGTATACCTCGTTCGACTTTTCGGTGTCCCTGCCGAACGGGCCCGAGGACTCGTTGCGGTGCCTCCGGGAGCTGTTTCCCGCCGTGTCCAGCAGTCCGATGAGGACGGCGCCGCTGTGGCTGGGTTCCCGGTGGTGGTAGTTCTCGGCGTAGGCCTCGATCTCGGAGATTCCGGGCACAACGTCGCCGGTGCCGTGCTCGTCCCAGCCCTCCAGGCAGCGGTCCAGTGACGAGAGCCAGTTGGTGTCCCGCTTGCTGCGGGTCAGGTGGCGGAGCGGCCTCGAGAAGACGCCGTCGACCCATTTCTTGGCCCGGGCGCGTCGTTCCCGGAGCTCGTCCCCCAGCTTCTGGAGGGTTTCGCACTCGCCGCGGATGTCGACGCGCTCCGGTTTCCAGGCGTCGGACCACTCGCTCAGCAGCTTTTCCTGCCGTTCGGCGTACTTGTCAAAGGCGGCCTTGAGCAGCCTCCGGGAGTGGTTCGCTCCGCAATCGGTGGAAGCAGCAGGAGCAGGCGCGGGCGCAACGGCGAGCTCGTAGATCGGCACGAGATCGCACCGGACGATTGAGGGATCTTCCTTGGCCGACTCGGACCACTCGCACCTCCCCCCGCGCGACGCGAGCTTGGCCGGGTCTCCGCCGCAGGCCTTGACGCCCACCTCGGCACCGGACCCCTCCTCCGTCCAGGACCGGAGCAGCGCGCTGGCCCTCGCCGAGGAATCGCCGCTGTCTTCGTCTCCGGTGCGGAGCTCGCCGCCGCCGGCCCCTCCCCTTCCGGCGAGGCGCTCGTAGCGGGACTTCATGGCCGCCCTAATTTTTCGAGCAGCCCTCGCCTTGTAGGAGTAGGCAGACGCGCTGGTGACGTACAGGGCCCCGAAGAAGGCCGCCTGGACGTAGAAGGGCCCGATGCGCTCCAGGAATTCACTGGCCTCCTCCTCGGTGGCCACCGCGTCGATGGCGGCCCGGAAGCCCGGCGTCAGCAGCGCCCGGAGCTCGTCGTGTCCCGTGCAGGGGTTGGGCAGCAGGACCGAGGCGACCTGGACCTCCCTGCCGAACTGGGCAAAGGCGTTCCTCTTCTCCCCGGCCAGGCCGAACTCGGCTTCCAGGGATCCGACAAAGGCAGCCGCCGCCCGGGAGGCGTCTCCCGCCACGGAGACGGACCGGCCGAGCTTCCTGGCAACGTCCTCGAGAACGGAGCCCTCGAGGTTGTGTTCTTTGTGCGCGGTCTGCAGCAGGATCATCCCGTGCTTCCTCAGGTGGGTTTCGAGGCGTTCCACGTCGAAGATGCAGGCCCCCCTGTGGTTCGAGAGAGGGACTATCTTCTCTCCGTCCCTGGGCTTGACGGAAGCCGCTAGGTGGTTGATGTTCCTCGCGACGGCCTCCATCACCCTGGACGTCGCGTTTGCCGTGGCGGTGGCACTCGCTCCCGCGATGGGCGTTGCAGCTATCGCTGCCCCGGGGGAAGAAGGAAAGCCGGGACCGGCCTTCCCGGATGGCGAGTCCGACCGGTGGCCGACCCTTCCGATCAGCGACTTGACGCGCTGCTCGCTGCGTTTCTGCCTCGCCTTGACGGCCGATCTCCGCACCGAGTGTTCGCTGCTGATCCAGCTCTCGTCGACGCTCTGGGCCATCGACAGGACGGTCGGCGTGTACGATCGGTACGTGTTGTACGGGACGGAAACCATGCCGTGCGCCTGCGCCTGTTGCTTCTCCGGGCTGGCGTAGGAGGCCAGGGCCATGCGGAAGGCGACCACGTCCAGCGGGACACTCGATTCCCCCCGTGTCTCGCACTGTGGCGATGAATTGTTGGATTGTGTCAGGTATTGATCGAGTGTCAGCTCCTCCGTCGATACGGTCCGGTTTAGGGAAATCTCCGCGTTTGCCGCCTTCATCTTTTCGTGGCAAATGGCTATGTATAGTGCTTGGTGGGTTGGTTGGTTAGAAAGCAATCGGACGGCATTCGGTTGGATTGATTGGTATTGAGAAAACTCGTTGTCGTCGATAGCAATCGGTAATGGGCGATGGGAAAGTACCAGTACGTATTCTATTATCTAATCGTATCGTGTCGTACGAATGGAATTTGTTGACAGGAAACAACCAGAGGTGCTTTCACAACGCGATCGCAGAAGGCGTTGTTCTACCGCTGAAAAGTGCTTGTTACCGAAGCGGTATTTTTCAATCACTTCGATTTTTCTATTCGTCTTCTGTACAGTACGACTGATGGATGCCATGCGGTGCACGCTGCTGGCTAGCTGGGCTTTGCAGTCATCCGCATGACAACTAACCATGCCTAATATACACCTGTACTGCCCGGCGACCCTTGGTTCGTACGGAATGATCGCCGTACGAACCAGACCACGAATCATATGCCACAGCGACGTGTCTTGCGGGACGTGCGTAGTCAGCGATCGATGATGGCGAACCATTTGGGTACAATATCCAATCAAATGGAATGAATTTCATTTGAGACCGTTTCGTCATTGATATCGCGACCACCGATTGGAAGATTGAGCGTACGGTACGTACCAGTAGGGATTGGGGGATGATGTCATTGCGACGACAATTGTTTCATGATCATTACTCTGGTTGCCTACCAGGGTCATCATGGAAATGACTATGTTTGCTTAAGCCCTGGTATAATCTGCGTTGACAATGATAGATATTCGTTGTTAAACGAGGGTGTTGAACTAAGCTTTTGATGCTTTTGACAACAGGGGATCATTATGACTTGTGACCCCTGCCGATACCTTGTCACGCGTATTGTTGTATATACGTATGGTGTTACCTATTCGTCGTACCAAACGATCAAGGATCAAAAATCAAGAGATCTTTCTTTCCGAACGGGAGGAAAGAGGAAAATTGAACATGATTCCGATGGCAGGGCAGGGCAGGGCAGGGCAGGGCAGGACAGGGCAGGGCACGACACGGTAATGCCATGATGGAAAGACCTTCGTCGGAAAAATCGTGTGAAAAAGAATGAAAAAATTCGTCGACCTCCTTGCTGCAGAGGCCTGGGTAGCAACCAACAGCATGAAATACATTCTATCGAATCATGGTGCCACTTTCTAGTGTGGTATCATTGTGGCTTTCCGTGTTATTCACCTGCTTCTTCTACAGAACATTGCCAATACTATTTAATCGAAGACGCAAGAAAAAGTGTACGATAAATTGCTCTAGTACAGTAATATGTAAAGTTCACAATGTCTCAAAATTGTAACAAAATAGGTTCAAACAAGAAAGCGAATAGCCGCGCCGTAGAGAGCTTCGACTCGGCGGCTCTCGGTCGGTGCAATCGAATCGTGGCTCTCGATTGCACACGGGCGGCTGGTGCCGCCAGAACGATCATGTGGAACGAAGAGAACAATACAATCGTTCTTCCATTAATTGTTGTTGCCGTCCTTGTGGTGGTAGGTCGCATCCACGAGGATGGCACACATCAAGATGTCTACCTCGTTGGCGTCGTCTTCGACGCGGACTCCGTAGCTGTCGAGGATGCCCCACTTCTTGCTGATCTCGCCAACCTTGACGTCGCCCTTCAAGATGGTAAAGTTCCAGCTCATGCGATCGCCCTTGATTTTGTAGTCGTTGTCACCGGGGATGTCGATGTCGATCTCTTTCTTGGAGGCCATGCCCCAGTCTTCTTGCTTGGCGGTCGCCCAGAGTTCGCCGTCCTTGAACCATTCGTAGTTGTTCCACGGGGTGACCGTGGTTGCATTTGTTTGCTTCAAGCAACACAATTCTTCCCCGCCAATGGTTTGGAACGAAGCCTGGTTTCCCCACTTGAACGCATTGCCCTTGACCTGGTAGACCGCGCCACCGTTCTGGGTGATCCTGTAGTCGTTGGAGACGAGCTTGAACTTCTGTTTGAGATGAAATTCCTTAACCATTTTTAGAGTAAGAGGAGGGGATGTGATATTTTCTGTTGTAGGGTCCTTCTGCGGAAACAATTGGAAATTATGACTCGTGCTGGTGTGCCACAGAATCTCGTTGCCAAACCATCCCTCACGGTACTCTGCACATTCTCGAGAATTTATCAACTGCGAGACGGAAACCAGGAAGAGATCCGTTCGTGACGCACACGGCAAGGCACGAACCGAGTATTCCCGGACAAAAAAAGCTGCCAAAGCTTTCTGGGCGCGGATCCAAACCTGAAAAAAGGAATCTGACGCAGGAGTCGTGCTGTAAAGTGGAGAGGACTCCATCCTCTCTTCCTTCCATCTGCCTTTCATGACATTCTAAATTTGGAATTCCTCCGAATGCTTCCAAGCAGAAAGAAGATCTCGGAAAGTACACGTTTGAATACTTATTAACCTCGACAGACGATTGCACGGGTATAGTAGTCCGATTGCCGTACAGAAGTACTCTAACACTTTCCTTCCTGCGCAGGGATGGAATGATCGAGCTGCGGTTTCAAAAAACATTTAAGCCTACAAATTCGATGTCGGGGAGAATCTTCATTTTTTTTGTTTTCACTGCAATCCGGTGATGATTTTTCAGATCCAAAATGCATGGCAGACCCAACGTACTATCCAAGAAGGAAGGGGAAATATTTACAAGTCTCACAACGTGTTCGCATCCTCTAGTACGAAACGCGAGAGCAAATGCGTCTGAAAATTGCTTCCATCAAAAGCCATTCTCAACCTAAATTGTGAGATTTTTTGTTGGGAAACTCATTGCTGGAGAAAGGTGTACTGAGAGATTTCATTGCTTACAATTTGGTTTCACTTAACTATGCAGTGCATGACCATGTTGGAAAAACATTACTTAGAAAATAATTAGACGAGTCAATATCAAGAATGCCTAAACCTTAGTTTTGACTTTTCAGTGATATTGTTCCCCACACAGCGTAAACTGAAGAACTTTCACTTCTTTAATTTAAGACTGAAAACGATCGGTGAAACGGGTCTGCGTAAGTTTTTTGACTTCGTGATACTGTATGCGGACTAGCAAGGTGCAGATCTCTTTTGGGACTCGGTGACTCCCGGTTGTTTGTCATCATCGGCAGAAGATTTTGTTGATCGTAAATGGCGGAAAAAATGGGAAACTTTCTCTCGGGCAGCGGTGTCGGGCACTTCCTGCCATCCATACTTTCTATCTTTCTTGAGAAATTTTCCCCCGCATTCCTTAACCATATCTACGATCTTGAGGGCAAGAGCTGTCTTTTGTGGTTTGCTGCAGTTTTCGTATTCCAGTTGGTGCATCTCGACAAGATGCGCACATCGGAGATTGCCACAGTGTTCACGAGTGTTTCGACCCCGACCGAACAAGACATCGAACTTCTTTGGAACTATCGTGGTGTCGATTGTCCGGGGCGTTGTGGCGGTGCCGCTGCTCGCCACCATTTCCACTTCAGCCACCCCTCGCAATCGAATCCATTGATTGTACCACGCCATTCCTAGGTGCCCGTTTTCCAATAAAATGCATTTATCAACGTGAATTCCGTAGGTCTCGAGTCGAAAGCATATGTCGTCGTGTCTTGCCAAATGTTCTCGGGTATGACTTCGTTGGTTTCGGGTCAAGAAATGCACCTTTTGGGCCGTCACCAAAGCTCTCATCGACTCATCATTGTAGCAGTAGTGCAACCCGACGATCTTTAGTGGTATGGAATCTCGAACCATGGTGATCTTTTTGGCCTGTTCAAAGGTATCGCGTCGGTTGGTAAATCCTCTGAGGTACACAACCATGACCATCCCAGATTTTTGATTGTCTTCATCTTTGGCAGTAACAGAAAGCATGTACCACATCGCCCTCAACCAATTCTCTACCGTGTTGAAGACGCGTTGCCCTGGAGCATAAAGAATGACTACCCTCCCGGCCGCATCCCGATCGGGCATGGTTTGCAGTGCTCCGCAATCCATTGCAGCTCGATCGTCGACGGAAAGATCCGAGAGCCGAACGTCCCGTCCAAGGATTTCTCCACCGCCAAAAATAAGTTTCTTTGTTGAGAAATACAGGGCGATTTTTGCCGCTGCTTGTTTAACATCGAAGGTACTTTCCTGCCAAAACGTCCGAAGGAACATGAGTCGAAAAGTCTTGCTGTTGACGTAGCTTGGGTTCATCCTTTGTGCCTCTTGAAAGGCGGAGTTGTCTTGGATGGTGCTCTGCAACTCCATTTCGAGTTGATGCAAGTACCAATCAGTGTTTACAGGTTCAACGTTGAGAGTTCCCATGTGAGGGATTCCATGAACTTCGAAGTTGACCTTATCCTGGTCGTGAACTGCGATTTTTTCCATTTCCCTCGTCAGGGCGAGTTCTTGGGCTTTGAAAACTTCTTCTGTCTCGTTCAGATATGTTTGTTGCATTTCACTCGAAACGACGTTGACGGGTTTCGGATGTTCGTCATTCTCGTGCCCCGAGGAATGCGGCGAAAAATCGTGGAAAAAATCATCGTCGAGCATATTGAGTGTGCGGCGGGATACCGAAAATCGCATCGCAAATGGTCTCTTAAGAGGGGGAGGCGATATGCTATCATTATAAGTCTGATCTCCTATGTTCTGCGAAATGGCTGGATCAGCGAACGGTTGCGTCGATTCATAGTGGTTTTCGCCGTTGTGTGCATCTATTGGAATCGGTATGCCTCCAGCACCAAAAACAAGCGGGTCTGCCGTCATAGATATTCTCCCCTTCGCGTAATTACCACCAGCGTGAAATTGCTCGCTGTGTGACTCCATCGCAACCCCCGTAAAGGGATTCGATGAGGGAGAATCCGCCAATGTCGGTGCAGACACAGATGGGGATGCACCAAAGGAATCATGACGATCGTCGTTGTAGAGGTCTCCATTGGTACCTTCCGGAGCGGCAACATTCATAGCCCAAGAGGTGTCACTAGCATTATCACTTGAGTTTTGCTCTTGTGGAGGTAAGTCGCACGGGTCTAGCGATGGGTCCGATAGATCTTCCATTACTTTCTCAAGCAACCTATCGGACATTCCCAGTGACATCAGGGATGGCCGAACGCTCAAGATGGAAGGTCTTCCATCGGTACCTTTCGAAAAGCTAATCGCCGACAACCTGTTCGCGGTTTTGGTACCTCTATTTGTGTTACGTTCAGCGGTAGCATCGGCGTATTCTTCTACGATGTCTTCAAATTCGTCGGAGATGATGCCCGAGATTAGTTCTTCCGTATCAACATTTATGTTGGAAAAGCGCAACTCGACAACCTCATCATCGATCTTCCCCATCATCATGTTATTATTTTCATTGGCACTCATGTTTCTTCGTAGTGATTCCAATGATATGATGGCCGTAAGGCGACTGCTTTGGTGATTTCTGTCAACTATTGTAGAAAAGTTGAGTGATGACGGACAGTTCCTTCTCCCTGCTGGGAGTCGACGATGAACTGAGAATACCGGGACGTCCAGTATGGTGCTTGGTACCGGTACTCGTACCCCATTTTTGAAACCGATATTGCAAAACGGTCGAAGGAGTCGGTCAGTACTTAAAATACGTACATTTCTACGTTGGCTATAATACCCCAACAGATCCCACTCCATTTACCACCGTACCGGTACGAGGCTGGGGTGTTAAATATCGCGTGCGATTTATAACAGGTTATGAGTCGAACTTTTGCGAGCCATTTTTAGTAACCAGGAGCAAGCTTTGCATGCTTGTTAATGATAGAAAAGGACCAATCAGATTTAGAGAATCCGTGGGCTGGAAAGGGTATTCTTTCCTCTTCACAACGATGTGCACATTACTGGGTGTTTCTTTTCGAAAACCTTTTCCGGCTTGTTGATTTCTCTCCCCACCGAAAATTGCAAAAAACTCTCATTTATTCAACCTCAACATAGGGACCTGTCACCTCTTTAGTTCAACACTTTAACCAACACTATCAGCACGATTGACATACAAGACCTCTTCATTATTATAAGGGGAAGGGGATCGTGAAGTATCGGATCAATCGACCGGATAGTTTTGGAGCAACAGGATACCAAAGCTACAGCGAAAAATCAGTGTGAAAACAGCAACGACAAACTCCCCAGTGTAACTAAAAAGAAACCATCTTCCCCTCGATAAAACACACAACCAGTGTCCGTAACCTCCTTAATACATCAAAGGAGACTTGATCACGAAGTATCGTTGCAATCGACCGGTTATTTTGAAAGAAAAAGCAGTTTTTGCTGTTTTTTGAGTGTTTTTCAGCCCTAAAATGAACAACAACACTATCAACAGCTGCAAAAGCAACACCACCATCACCACGACACCAGCTATTGGATCAGTTCCGAATGGATACTCGGTCGGGCCGTGTCCTAGGACTATTGCTTCTGGTTTGAACCTGTTTAATATGAGGAACCATGGATTGTATTGCACTGTGAGAGGAGCTATGGAATTTGCCGGCTTTTCAACTGAGGAGGCAAGCAACAAAACCTTGCAGAGAAGAGTACAGAGATGCTCTGAAAGGATTAAGGCGCCGCCCTGTGAGTATGTTGCCCCAACATTGCCACCAACAAAGGTCTCCAGTATCACCACAGAGGAAGAAGAAGAAGAAAGAAAGAAGTCGCCCCCCCCCCC